GGCCCTGTGGAGGTAAAGTGTTGGGGAGAACAAGACCAAGTCCTAAGGTGGGATCGTGCAAGGTGAGCAGAAGTGAGCTGAACGGTGAGGAGTAGAGGCCAGGGAGGTTAGTGGGTCTTAGAGTTTATGGTAAGGACTTTGGCTTTTCTTTTTAACTTTAAGGGAGATAGAAAATCACTAGAAGTTTGGAGCAAAAGAATGATGTCATCTGAAGTACATTTAAGCGTGCTGTTTTTGTGCTGTTTTTGTACTGTTGAGAATAGATTATGAATGAAGACAGGTAGAAAGGTCAGGTAAGGTATGTCGGCAAGGTATATTGGGGCAGAAGAGAAGATATGGTGACTTTTGACTTCAGAGGTAGGCTAGGTTTCTGAATACCATACAAAATATGCAGAACTGCTTGGATATTGAAATCTTATGTAACAGAGTGTGGTCATTCTTAGAAGCTATAGCTACACACAATGATACACAGGTTGTGTTCAACAGCCAGTTGGTATATTTGCCACATGCTGATCATTTCTGTACTGTTACAGGTTTTCTAGGAATAGTTGCTAGGAATTATTAAAATCATCTCTGATGTTTTAGAAATGTATCTTTTTTTTGTAACTTTTAGCCCATACTAATACACTTTTTTGATTGTGTGTGTGTGTGTGTGTGTGTGTGTGTGTGTGTGTGTGTGTGTGTTGGGAATGGAACCTAGAGCCTTGTGTATGCTGTGCAAGTGCTCTACTACTGAGCTACATACCCTACTCTAAGGAAGAATGTTGTAATGTGCTGCCCTAGTTAGGATTTCTATTGCCGTGAAGAGACACCATGACCACTGCGACACTTACAGAGGAGACCACTAATTGAGGTGGCCACTTACAGTTTCAGAGGTTCAGTCCATTATCATCATGGTGGGACATAGCAGCATGCAGGCAGACGTGGTGCTGGAGAGGGAGCTGAGAGTTCTACATCTTGCAGGCAGCAGGAAGTGAACTGAGACACTGGGTTTGGCTTGAGCATATATGAGACCTCAAATCCCACCCCCACAGTGACACACTTCCTCCAGCAAAGCCATACCTCCTAGTAGTGCCACTCCCTTGGGGGCCGTGTTCTTTCAACCCACCACACACGCCATCCCCTCAGGTGTCAGTTGACTTTGCCACTTGAGCATACAGGATCTAAAGTGGGGGTTCTGAGAGAACATTATTTTTGATTTTCTACTGCCATGAAGAGGGAAATCATTTGTAGTGTGAACAGAGAGGAACAGATCATTAATCACCTTGGGAGCTTCATAATCTTTTTTCATCATGGTGTTAATATGATAATTCAGGAATGTTTCTTGAGCTGACTCTTAGTGGTTACTTCTCTAAACCACATTTCATTCTGGAGAAGTTTTTAGGCAGCTCATGAGACTCCCTTAAGGTGTACTGTGCAGTAGCATGGTATTCCTTACTGCCATGCACATTGTAGACTCAGGCTCTTGTTGGTCCTTTTTGTACACTACCACACATCTAGCGTGTGTTCATGTTGTGACCAAGATGAAGGGTGTGTGTACCCCACACAAGAGTTAGAAAGGTAAATAAAAATCTTATCTCTTTGAAGAACTTTAGATGTAGTTTCATCTTTTAGTATTTTGGTGTCTGTCCTCTAATGTATGGAATAGAAATTTATGATTTATTTTACGTGTATATATATCTATATGAAAAATAATTATGATCTACAATGTTTTATAAATTTATGTTTCACATCATATGGTGAGCTTGAGCTTTTCTCTATTAAATTAGTATTCTTAACATTTCTTTGGTCACATGAATAATTCTCTTTTGGTTTATTATATCTTGTCCATTTCCTCTTTAAGGATATTTAAGTCTTTTCTAGTATTTTACTACTGAAAACCATACTGTGTTGATTATTGTGACTTACCTTTTATTTGTATGTAGGTTTTTTTAATTGAGGACATTTCTGTGTATGTGTATAGTGTCAAAGTTATAAACTTAAAGCTAGAAATTGAAGAGCTGTTGCTCACTTTAGTGCTGAAGGGATTGTAAGACATACTGACTGGCCTGTAGTAGTGGTAGATGAACAAGAGGTGGTTAGGAGATTGGGAGAGTGGGTGCTTAAGATAAAGGTATAGGGGGCTGGAGAGGTGGCTCATAGGTTAAGAGCACCGACTGCTCTTCCAGAGGTCCTGAGTTCAATTCCCAGCACCCACATGGTGGCTCATAACCATCTGTAATGAGATCTGGCGCCCTCTTCTGTATACATAATAAACAAATAAATCTTTAGAAAAAAAGATAAAGGTATAGACGCATGGTCACAGCTCACATCTCTTGAACAATTAACTGGACCCTGTAGTAAGTACTTTATATGCATAGTAATTATTTTGATCTTTACTACATCTAAGTAAGGTAAGTACATTTATTAAACTCACCATTGATGAGAAAACTGAGACATTGGAAGGCAACCCTTTAAAGAAAAAACCGAGAGTTAGACAGTTAAATGATAAAACCAAGATTTGAAACCAGTAGTCTGGCTTCAGATCCCATATTGCCACCACCTTCCTCACCCCCCCCCCCCCCAGTAAGTGCTGGCTAGGTGTAGAAGTGTGGGGTGGGTGCTGCACACTAGCACTGCCAACCTCTTCTGTGGAGCTGCACAAGCCAAGGTGCTTTGAGTCCAGCATTCTGGGAGTCTAAGAGGGTGATGGAGTGCATGCACCTTCTTACACATCACCCCACAAGGCCGCAGCAGCACTGCACAACACATCTGTTCATGCTTCTCAGTGAAACTTTATTTTGGCTTTTCAAGACAGTTTCTCTGTAGTCCTGGCTGTCCTGGATCTCACTCTGTAGACCAGACCAGGCTGGCCTCGAACTCACAGAGAGCTGCCTGTCTCTGCCTCCCGAGTGCTGGGATCAAAGTCGTGCATCACCACTCCCTGGCTAAGCATGTTTGTTTTTACAGTAACAGAGATTAACAACAACAACAACAACAACAAAATGACCAAAAACAAAAACTAATAATCTGCTTTCAGTATACACTGCTAAGTGAGTTATAAAATGCTTTGGTTTTTGGAAATGCATTTGAGAGATGGTAGAGCTGTGTGAAATCTTAGCACAATGCCCAGCATTTAGACTCTTGGATGTGTGTTGCTGGACAGATGGAGGGTAGAGGACATCTTGGCAGTTAGTTCTTATCTTCCGCCTTGTTGATGCAGGGTCTCTTGTTTCTGCTGCTGTACTGTGTACTTCAGACCACCTATCCTGGAAGCTTCTGGGCTATTCTCCTATCCATATCCCCATCTCGCCTTAGGAATCTTGAGATTACAGATGTGCACCACCAAATTAGGCTTTTTACATGGGTTACAAGGATCTATTGAGCTCAGTTTGCCAGGCTTGCTAGTGTGGCTCAATTAGTTTTTGCGCCTTTCCTGGAACTCATTTTGTAGACCAGGCTGGCCTCAAACTCACAGAGATCCTCTTGCCTCTGCCTCCTGAGTGCTGGGATTAAAGGCGTGCGCCACCATTGCCCAGCTTGGCTCAATTTTTTACTGAGGCATCTTCCTGACACATCCTCCAACATTTTATTTGATGATGTAACTTTATGGCAGCTGAGAAATGTTATGCAGTAATTTTAATCATGTCATCATATTACTTTAATGACAGTCCCATCTAGGTACAAATTTATTAAGTGCCCTTAATATATACATTTGGTATTAAAACTTACTTAAAAATTAGAGCTTGAATTTAAACCTTTTTTTTTTAGCCTTGGAAATTCTCCCTTGAATTGTAAAGATCTGTACACATGTTCTTCCCTGCATGTTAAGATACTGTGTTGTTAGCTTCAAATTACTATAACAAAATACCTCAAACAATTCACTTATAAAAAGGGAAATTTATCTTGGCTTATGGTTTTGGAGATTTCAGTGTGTAATCAATTAGCTCTCTGCTTTGGGGCCTGTGGTAAAGTAGCATATTGTTCTGAGAGTGTGTGGCAAAATAAAACTATCCACCTGATAGGAAGAAAGGAGGGGGAAATAATGAAGTCAGTTTAGGGTCCCACAGACCCCAACAACTTAAAGGCACAAAACTGTTATTAAGACTTTAAGCCTTCTGTCATCAAAGGGCTGTGCTGGGGACCAAACCTTTACCATCACCGAGACCTTTAGGGCACCTCCTATCCAAACTAAAGCAGAGAGTGATTGTTTTCTCCACTGGTGCCTCAGTTACCGGAAATGTTGGTGAATATCTGCCTGCCTTTTCTGTAGTTTAGTTTCAGCCCTGTAACAAACCCAGCAAGCTGGATGGAAGGGCCCTAAAGAGATTATCTAGTTAAATGGAAACAACGTAGAAACAGAAATGCAATCAGTTTGTTGACAGTGAGAGTAGTCTTATCTGTACTTGGCAGTATTTTGATCTGTAGCTGGATATATGCAATACAGAAGCATCTGCTGCTTTTTATTGTTGGGAAGGATGTGTGTGGTCCACAGTTTGTAAAACTGTTAGCCGTAATTGCTCTTGGGTGGGAGTTGGGGGAGGAAGGGAAGAATGAGTTGGAATACACGCATAGTGGGGAAGAGTGTGTGGAGTGAAGAGCACCATCACCTTCAGTTCACTTCCTAGTGCTTGATTCCCACAGAACATCTCTCCTTTGGGCCCTGCATTCCCTGTATCATCGTCTGGAATCTGGCAGGCACTGTCTCTTAAGATCTGCTGCTTTTCTGCTGTGCATCTTGGTCAGTTTCTTAGTAATAGATGATGAGTTTAAATTCCTGGGCAGGAAACTTGGAAAGGAAGATAATAAGCAGCAGACACTATTCACAAATAAAATGACTTGTGTGACATATGTTAACTAATATAAATTTTAATTTGACATTTAATTTAGGATCTTAGAATTGAGCGGCATTGAAATAATTGATAATTGGTATTTTTTTCTTACAGAGAGGAAAATGGAAAATGGAAAAAGTATTTTTTTGGCCATGCTTTAAAAGTTGTATTTCCTTTTATCTTTTCTAGGTTGCTGTAGTTAAACTAAAAAATGCAGATAAAGTATTTGCCATGAAAATTCTGAACAAGTGGGAAATGCTGAAAAGAGCTGAGGTGAGTCTTTATTCTTTGTAAAATTGATGGCACTGGGTTGGAGTACTTTTGTGAGCTTATGCATCATCTGAATACATAGCAAGGCAGACACAGATTATTAGTGCATTTAATTATTTCACCAAAATTAACGTTGTGTGTTTGTAAAAATGTAATTTCAAAATGAGAGAAGAAAGACTATCAGAACCAGCCACGCCACCTGCAGAATGTATCAGTGTAACGGGGACCTGTGGAGTGCCTTAGTGGAGGGAGGTTTGATCCCCGGAACCTGTGGTGGAAAGAGAAAGCTGACAGCAGAAAGTTATTCTCTGACCTCCACAACAAGTGTGCACCATGACACCTAAGCACCTGCATACATGTGTACACACTTATGCACACACATATGACAACCATTCAGAAAAGATAAAAAAGTAGAAGAACTATGAAGTGCTCTTAACCAGCGGTTTTGCCAGGGCTGGCTCCAGTTTATGCAAAGGGATGTTGAAATGATCTTAGGATAATTTTTACATGAAAGGATTTTCTAGGTTGTGTGTATGTTACAACAACCTTCCAAATTAAACTTATTTTGTGGGGAATATCGTTAAACTTTGGAAGCTATTGCTTACCTAAATGTTTTATTAACTCAGAGTATGTAACCGTCTGTGAACTTAAGCACACTTGCCACAAATGATTTTTTGTTAGTTATATTAAAAACATTTTTTACTGACTACATAAGAATTTCTGTGGCTCTCTTTTTTTTTTTTGTGGCCATCAAATATATGTTAAACTATATACATGAAAGCAAATAAAAGCTGCTGGATCCAGATTTTATTTAGGAGGTAGAAAGAGAAAGATTAAGAATTCCAGTTTATCCTTAGTTAGATGACAAGTTCAAGGCTAGCGTGCGCACACATACACACACACAAAAGAAAACAGAAACAAAAAAACTACCACCACCACCACCACCACCACCACCACCAAAACACCCTAGATGACTAAAACAGTGAATTTGATACCTTGTCATAAAAATGGAAATCTTATAAAAATTCCATTTATTTTTCAAAATGAATATCTTAGACTTTAATATTCTTTTATCTGAAAATTTTCTCTGTAACAGCATTTTGTGAAGGAGAGAAGCCTTTATTCTTATTCCCAGTGAATGAGAAGCCAACTAGATATAATCATCAGTATACTTGGTTTTTTGACTGCTCTCATCGGTTGTTGTTGTTGTTGTGTGTGTGTGTGTGTGTGTGTGTGTGTGTGTGTGTGTGCGCGCGCGCATGCATGCACGTACAGGTACATGATATGTACATGATATGTATGAGTATGTATAGGTACATGATATGTATGAGTATAGGCATGTACCTGCCATGACGCATGTGTGTGGAGGTCATAGGACAGTTTTCAGGAGGTTATTTTTATCCCCCCACCCTCAGCTCTCGGGATCTAGGGACTAGACTCAGTCATTAGACTTGAATGGCAAGCACTTTTTGCTGGCTGAGCCATCTTGAAGGCACTATGCATATAGTTTTGATGGCTGTATAGGATTGCTAATTTGATGAATTTGATGTATTTTATGAATGTTCTAAAGAGTCATGTGACAGCTTTGTAGAATTATTATTTATGTATGGACTTTATTTAACTTCTGTTTCAGCACAGGAATTCTTGTTGCTCATTATCCCAGTAATCCATTAAGGTTGAAATTTAAAGAACATAATACTGAATACAGAAAAATGTAAAAGTGTATGAAAGTTAAATCACTCTGGCAAGTGAAATGTGTAAACAGAGACTTTTCTCTGTCCCACAGCCATTTCCAAATAATCACTCACAGGCTTGTATTAATTATAGATGCTTGGGCAGTAGTTCAGGCTTATTACTAACTAGCTCTTACACTTAAATTAACCTATTAATCTATTCATTGCCACAAGGTCTGTGGTTTACTGGCCCTCCACGTCCTGCTTCTTGGACTGCCCGCAGGATCTGTCTCGACCCCACCCTCCTCCTTTGTGTCCTAGTTGATTCTTCATCTCACTCCCCCTGTCTTGCCATAGGCCAGAACAACTTGATTACCGACCAATGAGAGAAGTACATATTCACAAAACAGCTATTAAGTAAGAATTACAGTAATCCATTTGTATTTGGTAAAATTAGAGAAAATACTAACCTTATTTTGGTGAGTCTAAAGTTTTGTATCTAATTTACTTTCTATTACAACTAAGGAAAACTATAATTATAACTATTTAGTCTTCAACTCCATCAAAGACCCCAGAAGGGTAAAATGTTACCTAATGATGGACTTCAAGTTGCCTGGACAGTCACCCAAAGTTCCTCTACAACATTGGGTCATCCCACTCTGTCCTAAAGCCTAGGATGCCTGACAGACTTTGCTGTGAAGCAGAGAATTCTGAAGGGCTGTCCTAACTTGTCTTGGCAAAGTTTGGCAGTCACCTTTCTGGTGTCCTGCTGGTCCAGTTTGGACAGTAACTGTCAGCAATTGAAGCAAGGGGAGGTTCTTTGCCCACATGGCCAGCTTTTGACATAAAGAAAAATTCAATATGGATTTTCTTCAGTGCCCATCATCCTCTTTGAAGTAATTGGTTCTGCCAGGAGCAGATGTGTCTCACTGTGGAGAAAAATGTTTGGTTAAAATTTGAAAATCAGCCACGTGGTGGTGGCAGCACAGGCCTTTAGTCCCAGCACTCAGGAGACAGGGCAGGCAGATCTCTGAGTTCAAAGCCAGCTTGGTCTACAGAGCAAGTTCTAGGACAGCTAGGGCTATATAGAGAAACCCGGTCTCATAGAAACAAAATAAAATAAAAAAAACCCTCAGAATATGTTGGGAAAATGAGCAGTTAAATCTTCTGCAGTCCTAGTAACCCCATGCACATGTTATGTTGTAAGGTGTTGGTTTGTTGAGACAGTGTCATGTTTCTTAGCTAACCAAGGATGACTTTAAACTTTATCTGCTTGCTTTCTCCTCTTAAGCACTATGATTATAGGCATACACTACCATGCCTTGTTCATTGTGTTTTTAAGAGACCCAAATCATGGAGGGAATGAAATTTTTTTTTCTTTCCTTCAGAAAATATGATTGAATTCCTAGAGCACCCCCACACCACCAGAGTGTCCATTTATCATGGTTTAATATTGATGAAGAACAGATTTTCTTGTCAGGACCACTGTTGATACTTGGTCATTTCCTGTGCAAGCTGTTCTGTGCATTATGTGGTGAAGTACCCTGGCTTCTCTTTAATAGATACTGGTAGTATCTTTCCCAATTGGCATAAGCAGCTGAGGGCAAAGTACATTAAGCAGAATGTCTGCATTATGCCTTATATCTAGACCTACTATCTGTACTTTAAAAAGAATAGCTTAATGGTTAAACACTTATGAATAGATCATATAATGCCTGAGACTATCTTTATAAAGTGTGTGTGTGTGATAAAATAAGATTGGGTAATAAAATAATTGTTATAATTGAGTAACAGTACTTTGGGTGGAGGAATTTAGTCAGACTCTCTACTTCTGTATATGTTTGAAATTATATACCATAGTTTATATCTTTTAAAACTTTTTTTTTAACTAAGCAATTCAAGATAGATTAGAACTGAAAGTTAAATTTGTTGTTTTGACTAAAGTCTTCAGAGTTTTGTTTAGTTTGGAATTTTCAATCAAGTGAAGCTCCAGTTATTTACTAGATTCTAATGGATTGTCTTTAAAATTCCAGATCACTGTCATTGTAAGATAAAGCCAGGAAAGGGGATTCCTGGGCTCTCCCAGCCTTCTAAAATATTAAGTGGAAACCATACTTTGAGGTCAGTTAAGTCATAGAGCAGGACTTAGTACTAAGTAGGTAACATGATTCTGTCTTCTTCCTAAAGCAAAATGTTATAGATTTTAGCAACTTGACTGACAGTTTAAATCATTATTTCAGATGGATTATATATACTAGTTTTAGTGTTTTCTCAAATAGTGCTGTTTAATTCTGTTTGTCCAAATAAGTCCTGTGTGTATATACTTGAGGATACTAGGGCTAGTTGTAGAATAAGTTGTTTCATGTATCATGGCTACTTAATCTTCTTTATGGATAACCAGTATCAACTGTAAGAGCTGAGGATATAACTCATAAGCACAAATACTATCTAGCATGTACAAGATCCTAAGTTCAGTCTTATAAAACACAACACAAAAGTCAAAAGCACCTGCTAATGTCCATTTTCTGTGTCTTTAAAAATGGAAAAGTGGATATGGCAAAGCTGGACATTTGTATCATCTAGGTAATAGGTTGGTTGGTCTGTGTTTAAGCTAAATAATTCTGTGCATTTCCTGCATTGTTTTGGACTCTAGCAATTTTAAAAACTATTAAGCGTTTTAGACTGTGGTACAGATTTTGATCAGTTGCTTGGAAAGTGTTTTCTGCCTGTGTGAAGTATTCTTGGAGGCATTTCCTTTCCCTTGCAGACAGCGTGCTTTCGTGAAGAGAGGGACGTACTGGTGAACGGAGACAACAAGTGGATAACAACCCTGCACTACGCTTTCCAGGACGACAACAACCTAGTAAGAGATGCTTTTGTGATCTGAGTCTTATTTAAATAGAAAAAACCACTGCATTTCACCGAGTGAGTTGTACATTGCTATGAGAATTATTTGTCTGAGAAATTTGATGCTTTTTTTTTTTTTTTTGTTGTTGTTGTTGAATTTGCTTATGCCTTTAAATAAGAAATCCCAAACTCAGTCCAGGCTGTTTTAATTTCCTTCAGTTAAATGCTGTAGGAGACAGTTCAGGGGTTTTGTTTTTTTATGACTGTCCCAGTGTATTTTATTAGTAGTGTTCTGCTTCTGAAAACTTTACACACTTTCCAATGTGGCCATGTGCTGTATTAAGTTGAGCTATATTTATATGATATCATAGAGCACTTCACATAAGCTTGGGGGGAACGTAGAGAAAACTTGAAATATCAGAATCTGTACCACCTGAGTATAAATAAAAATGAATCGAGAAACTAGAAACGAGGAAATGAAGTCAAAGGATAAATAAGGTGAAGTTTGCTCCAATTCGATAGGTAACTACTTGGCCTACTTACTATTCATAGTTCTTCAGTTTTTGATCCATTTTTATTTCCAGGTGTATATCTTTTTTGAAAAGTGTTCATGTCTTGAAATGCTGTTTTGTACCAGACTGGACAACTGGAATGGAAAGAATAGGGGGCAGTTTTTGTTTATTTGCTGAATGCTTAGTGGATGTGTGCTTTCTGCTGGGCACTGTTCTCTGTGTCTGGAGAGAATCGTGAACAAGAGATAAAAGTTCTCTCTTCTTAGTATTATTTACATAAAGTATACCAGATGATGAGTCTAAAATCAAGTAAGTAATATATGGGAAGTAGTTTAGATGATGAAAATGCTATATTTATTCAGAAGTATAAAGTCTGAAGATTCTTCCAAAATGTCATTTTGTGACATAAATAGTACATAAACTTCAAGGTTTAGTTTTCATAAACTTGTAGTATAGTTATACTTATTGACTTACAGATTGTCAAAAACTACCAAGCCAGTTATATAACTTGATAGCATTTTGAATTCTGTGCATATTACTGTACCATGACATTTTATTTTTTTTTATTGATAATACATACCTATCATGTCAGAATGCTTTAGTGTACAGGACAGTAAAGTTTTTATGTTATTTTATTTTTTAAGTTATTAAGATTAAATAGCAAAGCATTGTGTTTATTATTGAAAACACATTACACATCTATACTAATAGAATATAGTGTACATATACATTGCCAGATATACCACACATTACCACATTCTCAATTCACAGGAAATAATTGATTAGTAAGATTAGTAAATTTAAAACAGAATACTTCATTATAATATAACTTCTAAGAATAAAATGAAAATGAGTCTACAGCCATATAGGTGGTTTCTGAGAAGCTTATGTATTAGATAAGAAAAACTATTTACCTGTGTTCAGTGCTGAATTGTGCTTGATTGCAAAAGCAGAGGGAAATGGTCAGGGAGAAGAAACTTTTTTTTGGAGATGGTTTTCATGTGTAGTTTTGGTGTCTATCCTGGAACTCACTCTGTAGCCCAGGCTGGCCTCAAACTAAGGGAGATCACCTGGCTTTGCCTCCCGAGTGCTGGGATTAAAAGCTTTTACCACCACAGCCCGACTAAACTTGTTCTTTTATTGAAAACAGTTGCTCAAAAAATTGAAGACATCAGGAACAACACAGATTGCTTTTAAAACTAAGGAAATGTTGCAGGGCGGTGGTGGCGCAGGCCTTTAATCCCAGCACTCAGGAGGCAGAAGCAGGCGGATCTCTGTGAATTTGAGGCCAGCCTGGACTACAGAGTGAGTTCCAGGAAAGGCGCAAAGCTACACAGAGAAACCCTGTCTCGAAAAACCAAAAAAAGTGAAACAAAACAAAACAAAACAAAACCAAAAAACAAAAACAAAAACGAACAACTAAGGAAACGCAAAGATTTGTTCTATCTCTTATGTAATTAACCACTCTTAACCTGAATCCTGCCTCTTGGCCTCCCAAATCTGTAGTATTGACTGTCTGCCTCTCTATAGCAAACGTGGCCTGGCTTCTCTTGACAATAACAGTAAAGACAGGGCAAGCAAGAATCATGGAGTAATACTTGTTAGTGTGAAACGAGCAGGTGTGCCCACAGTGGATAGAAGTGAGGATGCCAAGAAGAGAAGTCATGGAGTGGTCAGCAAACGGATGGAGACACGGCACTGTGGAGACTGAGGAGAGCAGGGCCAGGCATGCACTCAGTGGTAGAGCGTATGCTAGCACATTCAGGGTCTCTCAGGGTCTCGGCTCGCACCCCCCCCCCCACAGGAGCACAAGAGGTAGCCAGAAACACTAAGTGTATTTCTTAGTTAAGAAGAAATATAAGATTCCGCTGTCATCCTTGAGCGTTCTCTATACTCATCTGCATTTGCTTTTAATGTGATCTCTGTTTAAATCCCCTGGAAACATTCAATTGTGCTGGAATTCTACATGTTAAAATAGTCATTTCCAGAATTTCCTGTTGGAATTAAACTTTGTCTCGTTTTAGCTTTATATTTTTAAAGTCTGTTATACAACCAACATATGTGTGTATACAGTGCCTCTGAATCTTTGGTTGAGATTTAGAAAAACATAAATGGCATGATCCTTCGTATCTTTAGCTAAAGTAAAACTAAATGTTTGTTTATAGCTGTCATACACATGAGGTTTTTGTCTGATGTCAGGTCAGATCCAAGTGTAGAAACAGTGCTATTCCAATATTTATATCCCTTATATGTTTTTTAAAAATGAAAAAAATGGGTATAAGACCAATTTAGTGGGCAGCAAACAGCATTTAAGAATCAAATAGAAAGGAAAACAAGCATTTATGATGATTATTGAGAGTAAATACTGACCTGACAACTATTGCAACAGTTGTAGGGAGATGTGAGCAGTCCACTCACTTCAGATGCGGGACCGAGGACGGACTGAAGTACTAATACCACCAGAGCCCACCTTGGCGAGCCACTGAGCTGGATTAGGGTTAGTTACAGGAGCAGAAATGACTCAAAGTCAGCTCCATCACCAAAAAGCCACGCCAGCAGGGCTGACAGCTCAGGAAAGTTGGAAACTGGAACACACTGCACACCTGCAGGCAGCTCAGCAGGTTGGAGAGCGCCCTCTGCAGGTAGAGCCGTAGGTCTGAAGTGGTCTGTGCTTTTCCAGGGAGCTCTGCTGCTGAGTAGTGACTTCTGGGCAGTGTGGCCTAGCTAACAGTGCAATTTAGCAGTCTGGAATGTTTGTGTACACTTTAGGAAGGAGGGGTTGGTTCTAGTGAATATGGTCAGTATCAGAGACTTTCTGAAGCTATTTTGAGTTGTTTACTTCCTGAGCTTAAGGAGCGTCCCTGGGCAGTGGAAAGTTTGCCCTTGCTTGGAACACCCTGCTGCTGTTTGTCCTCCTGTCAACATCCTATGTCTTAACGAGCTTCCCTTCAAGAGGGAAGGTTTTGATCTTGGAAGAAACTGCTTGCCACAACAGTGGCATTGGTTTTTAATGCACCATATGTAGCATTGTGGTTTGTAGTCAGAACTGTTTTTATAAACGACAGGATAAAGCTTTCCATGTGTTTACCATTCAGTGTCAGAGTGAACAGAATGATCTTTGGTAGGATTTAGTTTGATTATTGAAATTTTTGGGATGAACAAATGAGGCAGATATAATATATGTAGATTTATTAGCAAAATTCGTGAGTACATCGAACATAAATTAGGTATTTATTTACACTTAGAAAAAGTATTTATCATGGTAATTTTCAAAAGTAATAAGGCTAAAATCCTGTCAATGTATTTTTTTGGACATAAGTTTATCATCATGAATTTATATATCGCTTAAAAGTACATTTTGTTATAAATATAGAAATAAATATAAACAAGTGCTCAAGTGGCAGATTTTTTGATTTATGTATATGAATGTTTTGCTTGCATGTATGTTCATGTGCCACTGTGTGCCTTCTGCTTGAGGAGGTTAGAAGCCAGCATCCAATCCTCTGGAACTGCAATTATGGGCAGTCATGAGTCCCTAGTGTGAGTGCTGGGAACAAAATCTGGGTCCTTTGTGAGAGCATCAAGTGCCCTTAAGTGATGAGCCATCTCTCCAGCTCCCTAAATGCCAGCTTTCAAAAGGCAAACATTTGGCAAATAGTATTAAGAGGAGAAAAAAAAAAAGTCAGAACTGCTTATTACCATTTTGTCTTCTGAATTATTTAGACTGATTTGCATTCTTTGTATTAGACTTAGGATATATATTTCTTCTTCAGTGACTTTCTCTGAGAGAAGTAATCTGTATATACCAGTTATGTTACTTATATTGAAATAAAAGTAACAGTATTTGGAGGAGGATCAAAATGAAAATTCTTGTCATTTACAAGAGGCAGAATTCGGAAGTCTTAGCTATCATTGCAGCCATTCTTTTAAGCATTTGAAAATTAGAAAGTAAGTGAGTGTGTGTAGCTGAGTGGTAACAACTTCGCCCAGCATGCACAAGGCCCTGGATTGCATCCCCCTGCACCATCCAAAACAAAAACAAAACAACACAACCATAAAACCTGTTTTGGAGCTGAAGCAATGACTTAGCAGTTAAGAGCACTTGCTGTTCTTATAAGAGACCTGAGTTCAGCTCCTACTACCTACATTGGCAGCTTACAATGGCCTGGAACTCCAGTTCCAGGGGATATATGCTGTTTTTTTAAATCTCCATGGGCACCTGAACACCCGTGATTCACATATATACACTCATGGCCTATGTATACTTGTAAATAAATAAATAATTAAATCTTTAAAGGATATTAGAAAATAAAACAATTTAAGAATGTAGACAAATCAGTTTTAGATACCAAAACAGAAATTGTTTTCAATATATTTATTTTGCACAGTAACTTTTAACCATTCTTTTAAGTAACCAAACATTTTTGCTGCTATATAACTCAAGAAATTTGTAGTAGATAATTTGGATTTTCATTTCCAACTTTCTTAGATATTACTGCCACATACTATGAAAAAGTGTAGCATTATATCGAGTGCCTTTTATGTGCGTAAGCAGAAGCTGCACAGTTTAATGTATGATTCTAAGGTGTGAATAGAATATTTTTCTCAAGTAAACTCATTATGTTTAAAGCAGCTGCGTCAAACACTGACACATGAAATCCTTATGTCTTGGAATATTCTGAATCAGTGAAAATTATCTTTCTATCATATGTTCTTATTCATAATTTCCTGTTTATTTTATGCTTGAGGAAAAATGGAACATGTTTAAGCTTTAATTTCTTGAATTATCCTATTTTGAAATAGGATCTTATTATATATCCAGGGCCAGACCTAAACTCACTATGTAACTCAGGCTGGTCTTGCATCCTCAATACTTTTGCCTCAGCCTCTTGGGTGTGGTATAGTGACTTTTTTTTTTTTTTTAAAACATGTATTTTCAGATGTTTATGCATTGTTTCCTTATAATACTATGTAAAGTTTGGAGTAGTTAATGGGACTTGAACCTAGGGCCCTGTGGATGTTAGAGACTGACTACTGGGTTAGAGCACCAGCCAGAAATACAGTTCTTACTGAGCCTTATTGACTGCTTCCTTTAATATCCGGCTTTTTTGTTTTTTGAGACAGGGTTTCACTATGTTAGTCTAGGCCAGCTTTGAATTTGTGATCCTCCTGACTCAGCCTTCTCCTAAGGGTTGTTATTACAGGTATGTTCTCCCACCCCTGGTTGAAATAGTGGTTGTAATTGTGTTGCTCAGATGAGTCATGTTAGGTCAAATAATATTCTTCCTTGTTTGTTTAGACTGGCCTCCAACCTGCTGTGTGACCTGAGCAGTACCTGAGCTTTTGATCTTTCTGCTTCTACCTCTTGAGTGCTGGGGTTATGATCGTGTATCATCATGTCCAGTTTATGCAATGCTAGGGACAGGATCCAGGCCTTAGTGCACACCAGGCAAGCACTTGACTCCTGAGTTGTATCCTCAGCTCCATAGTTAAAGGTTTGATCCTGGCAAGTGACTGTTCCAAAGGACTGTGGTGTATGTTGATGTGAAACAGTGTTGCTTCTGACTCTCTGGAAGCGTAGTCACCCATGGTGTCCTGCTGCTGCTGTGTCCTTCATTTCCTGACATACTGTGGCAGTTGGGCATGTGTTACTTGGCTGATGGTGACTGTAAATATCTGTTAATATCCTCGTCCTAATTTTGTTAGATTGTCTGTCTTCTAAACAGTTGGGAAGTGCTGTTCACTTGGAGGGCTGTGTTCTTCCTTCATCTGTTTTAGAATTGTTGCACCTTGGTGTATGTTTATTTGAATGAGTTTAAAGAAAGTTTAGGCGTATATTTTTAAGGTAGTTCAGAGTAAAAACCTGTCCTGTAAGACCCTTAATTTTCCCGAGAAGTTCTTCAGAATGATGGAAGAATATTGACCCAAACATAGGCAACCGCAGCAGAGGATAGTGCCCAGGGACAGAGGTGAGGATTTGGGGGTTTTAAAGTGTGATGAAGACACATCTCAACTGATGAAAGAAAAGAACAGATTATTTAGTAGCTCAGTTTAGATAATCGGCATCTGTCTATTAGAAAATAGTCATTACATCCCGACAAAAATACATTTTAGACAAATCAGTGAGCCAAATTCAAAAGCTGGATTGTTTTTTGTTCCTATACTCCCGGCACTGAGGACTGAACACAGGGCCTCATGCATGTTAGGTAAAGCTTTACTGCAAAGCTACATCTCTAGCTCTTTAACTAGTTTCTGTAGTTTGCAGTGATCTTGCTGAGTTACTCAGGCTGCCTTTGCCTTGTGGTCTTCCTGCCTCAGCTACTTCACTAGTGGGATTACTGACCTGGGTCACCATGTCTAGCTGGATTCTTGAAGAGTCTAAAGCATTTCCCTACATTTATTTCCCTACATTTATTCCTGCCAATGTATTTGTGATGCTCTGAGACTGATCATTAATTTGTGTTTCTCTGTAGAGTATAAATTCTTTGAAGGTATATTCTTACTCATTTGTTGTACCTCTGTTGGATGAGTATGGTGTTACCACACAGTAGGTATTCTTAAAAATTGTTTATGGAATTGGTGAATGAATTTATTTATTATTCTAGTCTGCATTCTATTTTCCGCTGTTGTGGAAATCTACCCATTTTCTCCTAAGTCTGTAACAGTAAATGCCACAGGGAGACAGTGACCTGAATTAGGATGCTGTTAGTGGATAGGGAGAGTTAGTAGGTAATAGACTCAAAAAGACCTTGGTGAGTGAATTCAGTCTGGTGAATTAGATCCAAAGAATCCAGTATCTTGTCTCTAATGACAAACTGCCATTGAAGGTATGATTCATTTTGAGCTGTTTTTCTCTTGAGAGTTTTGTGGATCCCCCCACCCCCTTTTCAATGTGATGGATTCTGTCTTTATTAGCAGCTAGTTTACTTCTGAGAACAAAGTAAAGGAAGACTGTGAACTCAATTTAGGAGACAAGAAAATGTAGGAGTGCGTGCGTATTTATCAGTTTTTATTCTGTCTTTAACACAGAAGACATCAAGGAAAGCATCTTGATAGTTTTGGAAGGAGTAGGGCTTAGAGTTTGAATAAAAGGAAGCATAAAAGAGTATGTAGATAAAGGTTCGTAAAAGAAGCTTGAGAAACTTCATTTTAAATGTTGACCATCAATAGAAAAAAATGGAAATAATGTTTTTTTTTTTTTTTTTTTTTTTTTTTTTTTAAGCAATTCAGTGTTGGAATGGTGTCTTCAGATATTTTAAGAGTCTGCTGTAATAAGAACTGAGTACTCTGTCAAGGGAGAAGCCCTTGCTGTAGGGACTTCCACTGCTTTATCCCATGGGCATACTCAGTGTTTGGTACATAATAATCCCAAGTGGAACACAGTAATATTACTAAAGAAAAGAGTTATGTTTTATCACTTTCTGTACATAAGTTAATATTAGAGTCTGTTTTAATTGTACCTTTTTTGTACCTTAAAGTCTTTTCCTGCTGCAGTTCTCATTGGGCTTCTTTGAAATTAAGAGATAAAAGTTTCTTCTCCATAACTGTCTCCATTTCTTGCAACCTGATAATGTTATAGAATTTTATTATATTGCATTAACTTGTTATAAGCTTCAGGGTAGAGTTAGTTAAATATTGGGCCTTGTAAATGCTGTAAGTAAGCTATAGACCAGGACTTAAAATATAACTTCCCTAATTTTCTAGGCTTTAAATATATAAAATTAGTTTCTTTGACATTTTCTGTGCTTAAAATTTTCAAGTCTCAGAATGAAAGAATTTTTATAGCCAAATTTAAATTGTAATATTGGCTCAGTGATATCCTTGAAATATTTACATCTTGTAATAAAATTATTGTTGAGCTAGAGAGATGACTTAGTGGTTAAGAGACCTGTTTTCTGTCTCCAGCACTCACATGGTGGCTTACATCTGCCTGTAACTCCAGTTCCAGGAGATCCACCACCCTCTTCTGACCTCCATAGGAACTAGACACACTGTGGTGCAAAGACATATGCAAGCACTCACTTGCACTCAAAATAAAAATAAATCTTTAGAAATAATAAAATCAGCTGGGCGGTGGTGGTGCATGCCTTTAATCCCAGCACTCAGGAGGCATAGCCAGGCGGATCTCTGTGATGTTTGAGGCCAGCCTGGTCTACAGAGTGAGATGCAGGAAGAGAGAGAGAGAGAAAAGAAAAGAAAAAAGGAAATCATTGTACCATCAAGGCATGCATATGGACATGTACAAGTAATAAGTACTTGAAAACAATCTAAAATGTGACAAAATCTATAACGTTGTCGTCTAACTCAGAGAGCCTGGTGAACTTTCTGATAAATACCCTTACCCTTCTTTGGTACTACATACATACATACATACATACATACATACATACATACCATACACACACATCTAAAATGGGTATGCTTCTGTTTATGTATATTTGAGAAAAATCCTTTTATCAGGTGAGTGGTACTGTCATTTACTTTGCAAAGGACAAAAGCAGCAAAAATTGTAATCTTGTCTTCTAGACCAAGTTTTAAAATTTTGTCTCATTGATTATGAAATTTAGAAGTCTTACTACTATTAATGATAATTATCTTATATACTTAAATATGAGTTAACCACACGAGTAATTAACCTTCATAAGTATTCAGCCTCGTTCTAGTTAACCCCAGGATGCATTAAGTATATTAATTTTTACCATGATTATTTACTGAGCACATTTTACTTTTGTTCACAGTACCTGGTTATGGATTATTATGTTGGTGGGGATTTACTTACTCTGCTCAGCAAATTTGAAGATCGACTGCCTGAAGACATGGCTCGGTTCTACCTGGCTGAGATGGTGATAGCAATCGACTCAGTTCATCAGCTCCACTATGTACATAGGTGAGTTGGCCCATCTGTCATTCAGCTGGCTGTGACGATATATCCAGAAAGAGCTCTGTTGCTGCTGAATTATTAATTATGGTCTTAGTTACACCTTATCCACAAACACTTTATTTTGAGATTGTTTTGGTTTTATGTTTTTACTGTTACTATTAATCTGCATCACTGAGCTGATGTGTCTGCTTTTATGTCCATGTATACTATTTACAAATGCCCACTTCCAGTCAGCATTTTTGTGGAAAGCTTTGAACATACTCATGACTGGATTTACATGTAATGTCCTTCCCAAAAGGAGTATGCAGCAGTCAGTTTCCTTATAGTTGATTCTTATACACCGATAGTTAGAATTCTAGACCATAAATTATAGACTTGTTATATATTTTATTTTTCTAAAGAAAAGACTTGGGCTGGGGAGACAGCAAGGGTGAAGCCCTGAGTTTGATTCCCAACATCATGTACAATCAGGACATGGAAGCATACATCCACTGGGGTAGAGGAATGCAAATCCCTAGAGACAGATGGCTGGCCAGCCAGTCTAGCCAAATTGAGAGCTCTAGGTTCATCAAAAGACCTTGTCTCAGGAAATAAGGTAGAGAGTGATTAAGGAAGACACCCTAAATTGACCTCGGACCTCACATGTACATACTCATACACACACACACACACACACACACACACACACACACACACACACACGAAAAGACTTTAAAGGATTATATATATGTATATATATACACATATATATGTATATATATACACACACATATATATATGTATATGTAAAGATTTTTTTTTTTGTTTAAAAGACACGGTTGGTTTTGATGTGTATAGCATGATCTTATTATAAACTGACAAGTAATTCATCATTTGTACTTCCTTCTGTGTGAACTAGGTATAGTGGTATATCCCTGCAGTGTAGCACTTGAGAAGTAGAGGCAGGAGGATCTGGAGTTCACCTGCTTTTGTTATGGAGTGAGTTAGAGGCCAGCCTGGTCTACACGAGACATTGTCTCAAACAAAATGAAATGAAAAAACTAAAACTTTTGTTTCCCTATGAGTGTGTATTACATTACATACCATTTATTATTGGATGAAAAAAAAAGTAGGCCTATTTACAAAATGTTTCTTATATATAGGATGTTTAAAAGTATAGTAAAATATTGAAGAACATTTAGTTGTTTAAAAGAAAGTAGGATCTCATCAGGTTACCAGGGATGAGTCTTTTTTTTTTTTTTGAGACAGGGTTTCTCTGTGTAGCTTTGGAGCCTTTCCTGGATCTCACTCTGTAGACCAGGATGGCCTCGAACTCACAAAGATCCGCCTGGCTCTGCCTCCTGAATGCTGGGATTAAAGGCGTGCGCCACCACCGCCCAGCTTGGGATGAGTCTTCCACTGGGCAGTGCAAAGTGTGAGGAAGAGGAGGGTGCTAAGAGCAGTAAGGGCTGCTACTGTATTAGGGAGGAACCATTGCAGCTTTGAAAGTGAGACTTTATTTATTTCCTTACTTACTTATTTGAGACAGGATATCACTATGTGTATGTAGCTAAGACTGGCCTGGAACCCTTTTGCATCAGATTTCCAAGTGCTGGAATGCTAGGCATGTGCAAACAAAGCATGATCTTTATCATGAGACTGCTAAATATCATGCTACAGACCTTAGACTGTACCTTGGCCTGTAGTAAGTTACCATTCATACTGTTGCATGGCTGTCTTCAAGTTGACATATGTTCATCTCGTTTTAAGTGTCCTTTTAGATCTTATAAATTCACTCATGTTGGAGGCTTGTCAGTATACTTTTCCCCCAGCATTCTGACTACTCTCTCGGGTCAGATACATGGTGGAAGTGGAGGAAATGCTCTCTCTTTGAGGAGTTACTTGAAGGTAGAACTGATGACCCAGTTGAATTGAGTGGGAGTAAAAGCAGATTTTAAAGACTCTTGTAATAACCGTGTTCCTAAACATCGTGGAGATGTAGAAGGAACGGTAGTTAAACAAATGACTCAGGAAGACCCGGTGGAAGAAGCTGTGTCCACATCAGAACGCAGGTATTTCAAAGATTAAAATACTTTAGCTAAGGGAAAGGGGTCAGAAAATAGGACATATGCAGAGAAAGACCACTGAAGTTTGCTATTACATTTTATCATTATTTAATTTGGTGTGTGTGTGTGTCTCACGGTGGCTGGTGCTGCACACTATGCTAGTTATAAGGGTGTGGAGGTCAGAGGGCCACCTTGGGTGTCATGTATCCGGTGACTTTGACCGTTTGTTTGATACAGTCTCTCATTGGTTAAGTAGGCTAGAATAGCTGACCCACAAGTCCTCAGGAATGCTCCTGTCTCTGTCTCCTTTCTCACCATGGCTGGAGTTACAAACACATGCCAGGACTTCAGGCTTTTTAAGTGGCTTCTAGAGATGGAATTTAAGTACTCATGCTTACAATGCAGGACTTTACTGACTCAGGCCTATATTCTATCATTTTATTTAAAAACATTCTTATTACATTTTATTTATTTGATGTGTGTGTACATGTGTGTATATATACATACATAACATACATATACATACATACATACATATGTTTATATGTGCAGGAGTGTGTCCATGCTGCAGCATATGCATGGAAGACAGCAGACAGCTTGTGGGAATTGCTTCTCTTTCTGCTGTGTGGGTCGTGGGGATTGAACTCAGGTGGTTAGGTGTGTGACAGGAGCCTCTCCCTGCTGAGTCACCTCCCTGACCCTCTTTACCATCTGAATGTTAAAGTCATCACTTGAACACATAAGAAACATATCTGTCTTTTCCTGCGCTTTTAGCCAACTGGTTATTTCTTCCCTTGTATTTATTAACATACTATTTTGGCAGTCTTATTAATCTGTCAACTCAGAGTTTAGACTTTGCCGTGGATATACTTTTACGCAGAGCTTGAAGCATGCGTACCAGCCTTCCTTTGGTTACTGAATAGTCAGTTTACATTTTAAGGGAGTATCTTTCCTTCTTTTCAATCATCTCTTTGTTGAGGCAGAGAATTTTGGAGTAGAGTGTATGTTTAATGACTTAGCATCATGTGATCTGATTCAGGTTGATTAAACTTTCTGCCAAATGTTGGGACATCGTAAAGTAAGTCCTGATTTGAGGTTGAAAAAAACCTGTTATTTCAGAACATGTTAACTAAGTCAGCAGAGTGTTGCTGCTCAGATCATCAGCTACAACACCATTTATCCAGGACCCAGAATCCAACTAGAACAACAGAGAAACAGGTTTGATCTGCTTAGAATGTTGTGTTTGGCTTTCATGTGCTTTAGTTTTAGATGAGCAGAAGGAATGATCAGGAATTTTGTGATATTTTCTAACAGCACATACATAATTTATATAGATAATCATAACGTTGATTCTAGCACCAGAATTTTAATAGCTGATCCTCTGTGTGTATGTCAGTGACTATGATCACAACCTGGTTCTTGTATTGTTTCCTAGGCTAGCAGACATAACACATTTTGCCTTCACATTAAGACCGTCTTAGAAAATACTTTGAGCTTGTTGGCAGATTTAGCTTATTTTTGTTAAATCCTGTTACTGGGGATAAAACCTAGGGCTTTGGGCATATTAGGTAAATAAATACTCTACTACTGAGGTACAGCCCAGGATTCAGATTTCACACAGAAAGATAATACTAGAAAGTAGACAATGCTTTAAATTGTGAATTAGAGTGAAGTAGATAGCGTGAAATTTTCAGAGACACTAATTCTTTTCTTTAAATATTAAAAAAAATGTTTCTATGAGATAAGGGTAATGTAGGGCAATTGTTGTGGATCTAGAGGAAGTATGGGGAATATGATCAAAATACATTGTATGAAATTTCAAAGAATTAATGAAAATGTTTTTTAAGTTTTTTGAAGTTCTTAGCTGAAATGTTTGTTCATATAGACAAATAATAGAATATTAAATATTAAAAATGAGGAGTTACTTCATTTTAAATCTTCCAAAGGTAGTTTTGTGTAGCATGACTCTTAAAGAGTCTTATTAACAAAAATAAACCCAGAGCCAGGTATTGGGGTGAACGCTGAATGATGAGAGAGACAGAACCAGCCACAGCCACCTCACCTTGCCAATTCCTCAGCTGATCCTGTTTCCTCAGACTGGAAGCCTCTGAGTCCTCATCCAGAATGAATCTCAGCTGAATTCTGCTAAAAGCTTAACCAGCCCTAGTTCCTGGTTTTCACGCCTTATATACCTTTCTGCTTTCTGCCCTTACTTCCTGGGATTAAAGGCATGATGAGTCACCATGCCTGGCTGTTTCCAGTGTGGCCTTAAACTCACAGAGATCCGGATGGACCTCTGCCTCCCAAGTGATAGGATTAAAGGTGTGTGTGCCACCATTTTCTGGCCTCATATCTAGTGGCTGTTCTGTTCTCTGACCCTAGATAAGTTTATTAGGGTACACAATATTTTGGGGAACACAATACCACCACAGTTTTGTAGAAGTCTAAAATTAAAAATTTTTCATTATTAACTTTATTCAATAGCATTAGTTATTATTCTTGATAACAATCATTTTTATGTCATTAGTTCATAAAACTTGTATTTTCAAATTTTTGTCACTTGAGATGTTTATCTTTTTGTATAACCTGCCATTACTTATTCAGTGAATGTTCATTTAAGATTGTGAGATTAAATTGTAAAATCTCAGATGGCTTTATTGAGATGTAATTCATATACCACATACTTCATTCATTTAAAGTATGTAGTGGTGTTAGTGTATTCACAGATACTTGTAATCCTTGTCATGAACTATTTTAGAACATCTTTATTACTTCAGAAGGAAACCTCATACCATAACCTCTCACCTCAGTTCTAACTCTCCAGCCCTAAGCAAACATTAATTACTTTGCCTCATAAATCTACTAATTTTGGGCATCTCATATAAATCAAATCCTATAACATCGTGTCTTTTATTGCTGGCCTCTTTTGTTTAATGTAATATTTATAAGGTTCATTAACAT